TGTGGCGCTCGGCTCCTCCAAGCTCTTCAGCCCAGTCCCTGCTATGGGTGGTACCACGCTCCTGCCGGTCAGTGCTGCCCCAGCCGGGCTCCTGGGCCAGGGGATCGGGGCCACGGGCGGCAGGCAGGTCACCTTTCCTGACACCAAAAGCATCGACCAGCTCAGTTTGGCCAATGCTGCGCTCACCAGCCCAGCTCAGCCGGCCAGGACTAAACTCGCTTTCTTCCTTTTCCGTGTTCGTGGAGCTGTACCCGCTGGCCCAGGTTGGTCTGCTGGGGCTGAACTCCCCGTCCTGCGTCTCCACGTCCCTGGTGCTGTATCTGTCATCCCAGGCCGGTCTGCTGGGTTTGAACCCGCTGTCCTGGGTCTCCATCTCTCTGCTGCTGTACTCACTGTCCCACGCTGGTCTGCTGGGGCTGAATTCCCCGTCCCGGGTCTCCATGTCCCTGGTGCCGTGGTCATCATCCCAGGCTGGTCTGTTTGGTTTGAACCCGCTGTCCTGGGTCTCCATGTCCCTGGTGCCATACGCGCCAGCTACGGCCGGTCCGCTGGGGCTGAACTCCTTGTCCTGGCTCTCCACGTCCTTGCTGCGGTACTCGCTACCCCAGGCCGGTCTGCTGGGGCTGAACTCCTGGTCCTGGCTCTCCACGTCCCTGGTGCTGTGCTCATCATCCCAGGTTGGTCTGCTGGGTTTGAACTCCTTGTCCTGCGTCTCCATCTCTCTGCTGCTGTACCCATCATCCCAGGCCGGTCTCCTGGGTTCGAACTCCCCATCCTGGGTCTCCATGTCCCTGGTGCTGTACTCGCTGGGTTCAGCTGGTCTGTTGGGGCTGAACTCCCGCTCCTGGCCCTCCATGTCCCCGCTGCGGTACTCGCTATCCCAGGCCGGTCTGCTGGGCCTGAACTGGTCCTGGCTCTCCACATCCCTGCTGCGGTACTCGCTATCCCAGGCCGGTCTGCTGGGGCTGAACTCCCGGTCCTGGCTCTCCATGTCTCGCGTGCTGTACTCGCCAGTCCAAGCTGGCCTGCTGGGGCTGAACTCCCTGTCCTGGCTCTCCATGTCCCTGGTGCTGTATTTGCTGTCCCAGGCTGGTCTGCTGGGGCTGAACTCCCGGTCCTGGTTCTCCATGTCCCTGGTGCTGTATTTGCTGTCCCAGGCCGGTCTGCTGGGGCTGAACTCCTTGTCTGCGGTCCCGGTGTCCCCAGTGCTGGATCTGCCAGCCCAGCCCAGCGTAAAATCCTTGTCCTTGGTCTCAGCATCCCTGCTGCTGTATTTACTGGCCCAGTCTGGGGTGAGCTCCTTGTCCTTCATCTCCGCATCGCTGCTGCCATATTGGCCAGCCCAGGCAGGTGTGACCTCCCTGTCCTGGCTCTCCGCGTCCCCGGAGCCGTACCTGCCAGCCCAGCTGGGCTGCCTGGAGCTCAGCTCCTCGTCCCGCTGCTGGCCGTGCCCCACGCCGTAGCTGCTGCTCCAGTCAGCCTTCCCGGAGCCGATCTCCTCCCTGCTGCCTGCGCCGTCCAAGCCATAGCCCGTGCCCCACTTGGGTTTGCCGGCACCAAAGTCTTGATCCTGCAGACAGCTTTCCTCTGCGCCATGGGATTTGGACCAGTCGCTGCAGCCCAGTCTCGTTTCCCCCACCAGCTCTGTCCCTTTGTAATCGCTGCCCCAATCCTTCCTGGCGGTGCCGAAGGACCCGTCCTGCTGGTCCCCAGTCCTGACGCTGCGGGTGCTGACCCAGCTTGATTTGGTCCCGAATTCCCTGTCCTGCTCCGTCTCACCAGGCCAGTCTCTCTCCCCGGCCACAGCCTCATGGGTCCAGTCGAAGGTGGTGGCCTGGCGAGGTCTGCCAATGCCAAATTCACTGCACAGGTCCTTCCGCGACCAGCCGAGCAGGTCCTGGGGAAATAGGGTGAGAAGGGGGGAGAGGGGGTTAAAGGGGATGACAGTCCTGGCTCACGCAGCAGAAAGGAGACTCAGAGAGGAAAAGAGAGGGGGTAATATCCTGGGATGCCTGTGGGACACAGCACAAGGTCCCATCCTGAGGGGAGGACAGACCCTGCTGTCTGCCCCCCACCCCGTGGGACCCCCCCCATTCCCAGGCCTGGGGGTACCAACCTCAACCCTTCCCCGCCCGGCGCCCCACTGACACCGCAGCCCGCCACCACCACCCCCAGCTCCCGCACCCCCTTACCTCCGGAGAGCTGTGGGGCCCGGGCGAGGACAGCAGCTCCGCCAGCCAGCCCGCGTCGGCGTGGCGA